GGGCGCTTCCTGTACCCTTGCGGGGCGGTGAGAGGTGGGCGAGCGGGCCGGGATCGGCCGCTCGGACCTGGGTTCCTCCTGGTCGCGAGATTGTGGGCGCGCGGAGGCGTCTAGAAGACAGCCCCATCGTCGAATTTCATCTTTGATGGGCGCCCTTTCCTCGTCCCGCGGTGGCAGCCCCAGGCGCGCTTGCGCTCGGGAGCAGGCGATCTCACCCAGCAATAGGGCGAATCTGGAAAGAGGACGCCACAGTCACCGGCGTTCGGCGTTTTAGCGTCTTGTGAAAGCGGGGTTCCGATATTACTAAGGCGCAGACCAGGCTTGCAGTAACGACCCTCAGTGACCAAGGCAGTGGAAAACACACTAATCCCTTCCCCCGCATGTATTCGATTTGGCCTAAAAATGATGTACTTGGAGACCTAAACGGGCCCCAACCAGAGAACTTTAGGCACATAGCCACTTGTGAGCCGCAGTATTATAATTGCCTTATTTCATTGACGTCAAGATGTCATTATTTCACAATTAAGAAAATTTAATGGCTGGGTGTGGTGATGCACACTTGTAATCCCAAAGGATTTCTTCCTGAGCTACTTAGCAAAACCCTGTCTCAAAACAAAAGTCACCTAGCTAAATGGATGCACATTGAGGCCATGCTCTTAAAGTGAACTAAATAGGACACATGAGTAAATACTGAATAGTTTCTCTGGTGTGAAAAACAAAGTGTAAGGCCGGGCGTGGTGGCGTATAACTGTAATCCCAGCACTCCGGAGGCAGAGGCAGGAGGATTGCTGTGAGTTTGAGACCAACCTGGGCTACACAGTGAATTCCAGGTTAGTCTCAACTAAGTAGTGAGACCCTGTCTCAAACCGCCCCCCAAAAAAGCTAAAAGTGTAAATAAGGTTCAACAGTATAATTGAGAGTGTGAAATAGGAAGAAAATGGCTAAAGGGGAAGTGGGAAGGGAAGTGAAAAGGAAATAAGGAAAAAATGTGAAAAGAAAAATGGAAACAAAGTTTTTGTAAATAGGGAAGGGTGAAGGGGGTGAAGGAAAGGCAGGAGTATGGGGAAAAAACAAGAACCAAGACATATCATGTAAAGATACAAGATCCCATTGGTAAATGTAACTATTATTTCCTTTAAAGGTACCAGTAGGGGCCTGGGATTTGGCTCAGTGATTCCACTGTCTGCTTCCCAAGCGCAAGGCCCCAACTTCCATCCCTGGTGAAAAGGGGGGGGGCATAAATGTACTAATAAACTTAATGAAAAAGAAAACCTGTTACCAACTACAGGATTGCTGGTACTAAGTCCTGTCTGTTTTTACCCACTTGAACAGAGACTGCAGAACAAGTCTCACATTTGCTTTCCCCAGGATAGAAGTTGGGGCTTTTTGTGGGTTCAGATTGAGGAAAGGAGTTGGGAGGCTAGGAAATAAACTGTGTATGGTGTCTGACCCTGTAAATTGGATGGTAAGCCCACCCCCCACATATTGGGATGGAACTGAAGTCCTTCACACTGATCTACATCCTCTCCTCAGCCCCTTTTCCTTTTTGGTGGTGGGGAGGGTTTGAGAGAGGGTCTCACTATTTATTTAGTTCAGGTTGACTCTGAACTCACTATGTAGCTCAGGCTGGCCTCGAATTTGCAGCAGTCCTCCTGCTTCAGCCTCCCCAGTGCTGGGACTACAGGCATTGCCACCATGTCTGGCTTCCCCAGCCCTTTTTAAAAAAAATTTTAGACAGAGTCTTGCTAACTTGCCCATGCTGGGTTCAAACTTTGATTCTCCCTGCCTCAGTCTCCCAAAGTGGAGAGGGATATATGGATGTACCACAACACCCAGTTTAAAATTGGTGACTTTAGGGCTGGGGACTTAGCTCAGTGGTTCTGCCACCTGCCTTGCAAGCAAGGACCCGAGTTCAATCCCCTGTACCAAAAAAAAAAAAAAAAAAAAAAAGAAAGAAAGAAAAAAAAGAGGCTGAGGCAGGAGGATCATAAATTTAAGCTCAGCCTAGGCAATTTAGTGATTTATCCAAACCCTATGTCAAAATTTGACAAAATTAAAAAGAGTTGAGGATGTAGCTCATTACAAAGGCCATGGGCTTAATATCCAGAGCCACAAATATGTAGAGATAGAGAATTATGCATGATTTATTTTTTGAGACTGAGTCTCAGTATATCGTTCAAGCTGGAATTGAACTCACTATGTAGTCCAGGCTGGCCTTGAACTCATGGCAGTCCTCCTGCCTCAGCCTCCTGAGTGCTAGGATTACAGGCATGTGCCACTACACCCAGCTACATAAACCATAAATACTACACTTGATCTTAGCCAGAAGGCCGAGAAGCGATTATAAACCATAAATGACCACTTTCAGGGTTAGTGGGTTGAAGGGAGGCCTGGTCAGGCGAGCTTCCCAAAGAAAAGAACACATGTGAGGTAGACATTGCAAAAAAGCAGGAACCAAATGTTATTTTCCAGCACAGCACTTATAGTAGTTCTTGTCAGCTTACTAAGATAGTAAGAGCTGGGCAGAGGCAGGAGTATCACCATGAGTTCAAGTCCAGCCTGGGATATATAGTGAGTTCGGGGCCAGCCTGAACTACAAAGCCAGAAAAGACACTGTAAGACAAAACACTGTGGGCATCCTTGCATGTCCATCTCTTGTAAGGACTCTTGTACTTGCCGTTGGTGGTCAGGAATAAAAACAACATTCTACATGTAGGAGGGCACAAGTGCCTTCCTGTGCTGCAGTCACTAAATCCAGAGCCATATGGTCTGTAACACTACCCTTCTTATTTGGGACATTTCATCCATGAATAACATCAGAGACTGGCGCGTGATATTTAGGGCCTGTGCCATGTGTTGAGCTAGAGCTTTAGCTTGGAGGGCTAGGTCTACAGTTCCTGCCCTAGGCACACCAGTACCGACATAGGGTAAGGCCACCAGGCCATGCATTTGATGCAGTGCCATCTGTGGTATACAGTGTCCCAACTGTGGGTTGTGTTTGTCAGAGTGGGCCTGATAGTGCCCTTCATATAGGGAAACCGCTGGGTGCAGCACCCTGTCCAGTGCATGGGACAGTTAAAGCTATAGCTTTAGTCACTGCTGCAGGAGATGAAATGCCCACAGTACTGCACCCAATTGCATGGGCACCCTCCTCCTCCAAGGGGCCAGCTGAGCACATTGAGGGCACACCTTCACTGCCCTGCCTCTCGTGCCTCTGTGGGAGTCACATCCAAATGCCACTGTGGTGCTATAGCTTGCATGGTATGGGGCCTACGTACCATAATTTCTTATGGGGTCATGGCGCCACTGGTGAGGGTGGGCCTCGAAGGGCTGCTACCCTCGTCAAGCAGTCGGCTAAATCATTCCCTAGCCAGAGGAGAGGCCTAAGTCCTGACACATGGAACACCACACATGTTATAGTCTTTGTTTCTCTTAATCAGTTTTGGTTTGAAATTTACTTTGTCTGCAAATAAGATAGCTACCCCTGCTTTTTTCTGGGCTCCTGTCTCATTGAGAACTGTTTTCCATCCTTTCGCTTTCAGTCTATGAGTTTCTTTTTTAACTAGGTGTGTTTCTTGTATATAACATATTGTTGGATTTTGCTTCTTAAGCCGTTCTGCCAGTCAGTTTCTCCTGATTGGTGAATTGAGGCCATTGAAATTGATGATTATAACTGATATGTATTGACTTATCATTGTCATGTTATTGTCCTGTTGTTGGCCCTTTTTATAATTTTTCCCCCTCTCCCTTTAGTTTCTTGCCTTGCCTATTTGATTTGCTTTGTTGGGCTTCATGGTGTTATGACTTTCATTGTCCTTTTCTAGAATATTGTTTAGAATTGTTTGTAGTGCTGGTTTGGTATTCATGAAGTTTCTCAGGTGTTCCTTGTCATGGAAGTATCTTATTTCCTCATCCATTTTAAAAGAGAGTTTTGCAGGATACATCAGTCTAAATTGGAGGTTGTTTTCTCTTAGGGCTTGAAATACCTTACTCTGGGCCCTCCTTGACCTGAGGGTTTGTGCTAAAAGGTCTGCTGTGATTCTGATGGGCTTTTCTTTACATATGGTTTGTTTCTTTTTTCTAACTGCTTTCAGTATTTTGTTCTTCTGTTGGGTTTCCGGGATCTAGACTATTATATGTCTAGGTGTAGATTTTTTTTTTTTTTCCAGATCATGGCTAATCGGAGTCTTATATGTCTCACTTATCTGTATGTCAAATTCTTCCCCTCTGTTTGGGAAGTTTTCTTTCATTAATTCTGTGGACAGTCTTTTAAAGTCATTTGTACTTTCTCCTGCTACTTCATGGATTCCAGTCTTATGTTATTCTTGTTTGCATCATCTAGGAGTTGTTGGATCAATTTCTCATGATCCCTTACTGTTTTTAAGAGATTTTTCTTTTCATGGTCACTGACTTCAATCCTATCTTCTATATCTGAAATTCTATCCTCACATTTGTATATCCTGCTATGAATGCTTTTGATAGTT